AAGTTTGGTTATCCATTCCTCAGTTGTTGGACATCTAGGTTGTTTCCAAGTTTTGGCTATTGTAAATAGTGCTGCGATGAACATCGGCGTGCACCAAATCACAATTTTAAAAACCCTATGGAGCACAGATTAGATCTCCCATGTGTCAGAACACATGGGGTCATCGAGAGTCCAAATTGACTCCACAGCATCTGGTTGATTGGTGGTTCATGACCAGAGAGCCCTGTTTGCAAACCTGCCCACCTCTGGGATGTAAAACCTTTCCTCCATCATGTAGCACATGTCTCCAAGGGAAAGGTAAAATCTGTGAGAATTTTTTGAAAATCGAGTTTACAGATTTTCAGCCGTCTGTAGCCTCAGGTTAATCCAGGTGTTTTCTGTTGGGATCCTATTCTGATTATTAGATTAGAAGCACTTGTTACCAGCCCGCTAGTTCTCAGTGTGGCAGGGACTGGAGGAGGCGTTTGCTCTCCGAGTCATCATCCAGCTACGGTTTCATAGACTCAGGGCTCCAGTACTTACAGCTGAGCCCCTTGTTTCTGATCCCGGTGGCAGCCACACTGCCACCATCCTTGCAGGAACAGAGACTCAGAGGTCCCAGCCCGGGGGCGGTGCACTCTCTCCCACTCTGCTCCTCCTTCAGCCCAGCCTTCTCCCCTGTCAAGTCTCCACTGCGCTTTCCAGCAGTACGGCCTTTGGTTCTGAGGGGCCACCTCTCCTGCACGGTGGGCCAGACCGTCAGATGCCTGTCGTCCTGATGGGCGAGGCTGTGGAGCCCCGTAAAGGCCCACAGGACTGGACGCCGTGTGTACTGGAGCAGCGTACAGCACATCCCTGCAGCTGCAGGATCTCGGGTGTGGAAGGATATTGTACATGTTCCACTAATACCCCCCTGGTTCTCCCAGAATGCACCTGATACAGGTCTGGCGGATGTCTGCTGCTGTTGTTACTGTCCTTCCTGCCTGTTGTTCCCAGGAGAGGACACAATGTCTTGGACTTACATTAAAAATGGTGACTCAACAAAGAGAGTGTCTCTCCCTCTGGAGGGAAGACGCCTGCAGTGTTCCGTACAGATGAGAGAGCATCTTAATAAGGATCGAGCAGGAATCACAGAGAACTTGAGGCAGGACCAGGGCTCCTCACACTGTCACACTGGGGAGTTTTTAGTCTCAGGAGAAGTCCACAGCATAGGGATAGAGTCTCTCACAGACCCCCAGGGCCAGATGGTGGTAGCTGCCGCAGTCAGCCTGACTCACAGTGACTCCCGTGCGTGACAGCGGATAATGCCCACTCGTGGCCCATGCCTGTGACCCGTTACAGATCAGACCTGTGGTCCAGAAGCTGTTCATTGGCTGGTTTGGGAGTAGATTGCCAGGCCTTTCTTCCTGATCTGACTTACTCTGGAAGCTCCGCTAACAGGTGGCTGCACATGAAGTGGATAGGTCAGGAATGGGACCCGGCTCCTGGACCTGCAAGAGGAGAGTTCTGCCACGGAACCAGCATTGTGGTCAGTTCTCTGGCCTGTTCTGTGGTTCTTCCGGTGGAAGGCCTTATGATTGCCCTGCCACGTCGTGTTCCTGGTCTGCACTGGGTGCTTCACGATGCTTAGCACTGGGTTGCCTACCACAGCTAGAGGCGTTCGCTCTGAGCAGGAACCACAGACTGCTCAGGGCCCTTCTCTCAAAATGCAGATTCGCTGTAAACCAAAACCAGACCCGCTACCATCCAGTCAATTCTGACTCACAGCAACTCTATAGGACAGGGGTGAACTGCTCCCACAGCGTCTCCAAAGCCATAATCTTTACAGAACAACAACAAAAAAAAAACTCACTGCCATTGAATCAATTCCAACTCATAGTGACCCCCTTTGGGTTTCTGAGGTGGTAAATCTTTATGGAGTAGATTGCCCAGTCTTCCTTCCACAGACCGGCTGATGGGTTTGAACCACCAACTTTCTGATTCACCTTAGACACTATGCCACCAGAGCTCCTAAGCAAAGCCCAAACCAAATCCACTGCCATCAAGTTGATTCCAACTCACAGTGCCCCTGGAGGACAGAGTAGAACTGCCCCAGAGGATGTCCGAGGCTGTCAGTCTTTACAGAAACAGACAGCCTCATCTTTATCCTGCAGAGCAGCTGGTGGATTTGAACTACGACCTTTCAGTTAGCAGCTGAGTGTTTAACCACCAGAGCGCCTTAAATTTGCTATAGGATCCTTTTCATCGGTTTCTCTAGTACATTGTACATGCTTCCAGTTATGGAAAGTTAGTGTATGAACAGATTTCAGGCAGAGGGGGTGTGGTGTTGCATGACATTTCCCACACTACCCATCAATCAAAATCCAAACGCATTGCCAGCAAGCTGGTTCTGACTCAAGAGACCCCACGTGTGCAGAGGAGAACTGTTCACAGGCCTTTCTGGCCTGTAATCTGTATAGAAGTAGACCATTAGGCCTCTCTTCATGGTCCCACTGGTTGGGTTCAAACCACCAACCTTTTGGTTAGAAGCCAAGCATAAACCATTTGTACCACCCAGGGACTAGGCGTCTTGAGAGCCCCAGTGGAGGTCTCTCATCTTCCGAGAGAGTGATGAGTGTCAGGAGCTCCTGTAGACGTTATTTGTGGTGAGTACTTGAGGTTCATGGTACCAGGTGCAGAAGGCTCACAGGTGCGTTCATTGGAGAACGCTGACAGCCTCAGGAAACAGATGCAGAGCCCAGCCTCGGTGAGCCCAGCCCAGCCGGGCTCCATCCCAGTTGCCATCATTCCCACTCACGCCTTCATGGCACTCCCACGTGTGTTGGAGTGGTACTGCACTCGATGGGGTTTCCTGGCTGGTTTTTCGGAAGTAGATTGGCAGGCCTGTCTTCAGAGGCACTGCTGGGTGGACGTGAGCCTCCGGCCTTTGTTTGCAGGGTGTTATGAGTTTGTCTCACCCAGAGACCACAGCCATGCTGCATCCACCGACTGCTTGTGCATCCCTCTAGGAAAACGAGAAGCTCTTACAATGTGTGTAACAGCCCAGCTCCTACTGCTGATGCACCTCAGGGCTGGAGCTGTCGTGTTTTGTGTCCAAGACTCGAGGGTGACTCAGGGTGAAGTTGTCAGTTTGTAAGCTGTTGCTCTTTCTCATTTCCCTCCAGTGACAGGCGCATCCGGCCTCCCTGAGAACAACCCGCCCTGCACCGTGAACATTCCCATCGCCCCAATCCACAGCTCGGCCCAGGCCATGTCGCCCACTCAGAGCATCGGGCTGGTGCAGTCCCTGCTGGCCAATCAGAACGTGCAACTGGACGTCCTGACCAACCAGACCACGGCCGCGGGGCCAGCAGAGCACCCTGGTGACACGCCCACCCCGTACCCGGTCCCTAACCGGTACTCCAGCCCTGGGCAGGTGATCTTCGGGGGCGTAGAAATGGGCCGCATGGTCCAGAACCCGCCCCCTCCTCCACTGTCCCTGCCACCACCCCCGCCCGGGGTTCTGCCGCTGTCCCTGGTGGACCACGGGGACCGTGACCATGAGCACCTACAGAAGCCAGCCAAGGCGCTGCGGCCAGCCCCACCCCTGGCGGCAGAGGCGGATGCCGTGGTCTTCAGTGCCCCCCAGGAGCTCCCCGTGAATAAGATGAACCCCCCGCCCCCTTACCCAGGCACCATCCCCGCTGCCCCCACCACAGCCGCCCCGCCACCTCCGTTGCCACCACCCCAGCCCCCCATGGATGTCTGCCTGAAGAAGGGCGACTTCTCCCTCTACCCGACCTCCACCCACTACCAGACCCCACTGGGCTACGAACGGATCACCACCTTTGACAGCAGTGGCAACGTGGAGGAGGTGTGCCGGCCACGGGCCCGGGTGCTCTGCACCCAAAACCCCTACGCCCTCCCCGGCCCGGGCAGCTCAGCCACGCTGCGGCTCACGGCCACAGAGAAGAAGGTCCCGCAGCCCTGCACCAGTGCCACCCTGAACCGGCTGACCACTCCTCGGTACTCCATTCCCCCAGGGGACCCGCCGCCCTACCCCGAGATCGCCAGCCAGCTGGTGCATGGCCGGAGTGTGGCCCAGCGACCAGACAGCAGCCTCATCCATGCCACCTTACGCAGGAACAACCGCGAGGCTGCACTCAAGATGGCCCAGCTGGCGGACCACCAGCGCGCCACCCTGCAGCACCCGCCCAAGCCCAAGAGCAGCATGGTGCCGCCCCCGTTCCCGCCGCGGCCCCCGCCGGCACTGTACACCTGCAGCCAGTGCAGTGGGGGCGCTGGGGCTGGGGCTGCCATGGCGGGCCTCGGGGGTGGCCTTGCAGGTGGCCTGGCCAGCAGTGGGGGGCGGCCCGACCTGAGTGCCAGCTCTCAGCCGGGCACGGCCCTGGCACACTCAGCCAGCATGTCCCCCTTGACATCACAGTCCTCCTACAGTCTCCTGAGCCCCCCAGACAGTGCCCGGGACCGCACGGACTATGTCAACTCGGCTTTCACAGAGGATGAAGCCCTGTCCCCACACTGTCAGGCCGAGAGGTCTCTGCGACACCCCCCGCTGGCTGACGCTGCCGTCACCGTGGTGAAGCGGCCACCCCCGTATCAGTGGGACCCTGTGCTGGGCGAGGACATTTGGGTTCCTCAGGAAAGGACAGCACAGACTTCAGTGCCCAACCCCCTAAAACTGCCCCCTCTGCTGATGGGCCAGAGCCAGCACCTGGACGTGTCCCGGGCGCCCTTCGTCTCCCCCAAGTCGCCAGCCAGCCCTACTGCCACCTTCCAGACGGGCTACGGAGTGGGGGTGCCATACGCAGGGAGCTATAGCAGCCCTCCACTGCAAGGGGTGCAGGCTCCCTGCTCCCCAAAGGATGCCCTGGCCGCACCCCAGTTTGCACAGCCTGAGCCGGCCGTGGTCCTGCAGCCGGTGTACCCACCCAGCCTCTCCTACTGCCCCCTGCCCCCCACGTACCCCGGAGGCAGCATGTGCTCCAGTTTACAGCTGCCCCCCCTTGCCTTGCATCCCTGGAACTCCTACAGCATGTGCCCCCCTGTGCAGAACCCCCAGGGCACGCTGCCCCCCAAACCGCACCTGGTGGTGGAGAAGCCCATCGTGTCCCCGCCGCCTGCCGAGCTGCAGAGCCACGTGGGCACCGAGGTGATGGTGGAGACGGCAGACAACTTCCAGGAGGTGCTCTCCCTGACAGAAAGCCCCGTCCCCCAGCGGACGGAGAAGTTCGGGAAGAAGAACCGGAAGCGCCTGGACAGCCGTGCGGAGGAGGGCAGCGTGCCGGCCATCACGGAGGGCAGAGGGAAGAAGGAGGCCCGGACGCTGAGCGACTTCAACGCGCTCATCTCCAGCCCCCGCCTGGGCAGGGAGAAGAAGAAGGTCAAGAGTCAGAAGGACCAGCTGAAGTCCAAGAAGCTGAACAAGACAAACGAGTTCCAGGACAGCTCCGAGAGCGAGCCGGAGCTGTTCATCAGCGGGGACGAGCTGATGAACCAAAGCCAGGGCAGCAAGAAGGGCTGGCAGGGCAAGCGGAACTCGAGGACGGGCGCTGAGCCCGAGGGCTTCAAGTGCAGGAAGGCCAACGAGCGGGAGGAGAGCCGGCTGGGCAGCCAGGGCTTTGTCTACGTGATGGCCAACAAGCAGCCCCTGTGGAACGAGGCCACCCAGGTCTACCAGCTGGACTTTGGGGGCCGCGTCACCCAGGAGTCGGCCAAGAACTTCCAGATCGAGCTGGAGGGCCGGCAGGTAAGGCTCACTGGCGCCGCTGGCTTCCAGTGTCCTGGGGCAGGCCGGGAACTCTGCTCTCATCCTGTCAGACCTCAGCTCGGAGGGAGGGGGGCCTCCAGAGAGCAGTGTCCACAGGCCACACAGGACAGGAAAGGGGAGGGACAAGTCGTATCTGAGGCGAGCCAGCTGGGCTTACACTGCTCAGTGCGCCCGGGGGGACCTGCTCTTAGTTTCGAATCAGGAGCGTGTGTACTGGTTTTCTTAAAGTGATTCTGTAAGACCTATGGGGCCAAACAGCTGTCCCCCGGCCCACCCCACCCCACTCCTGTGCCCCACCCTCCGGAGCAGAGGCTCTTTCTGGCATCTGCTACCATATCTGCAAAGACCACGTTTATCCAGCTCTGTGTTGACGGCTTTAACTATCATAGAGCATCTTCATTCCAAAGAAGACGAGGGCTTCGTCACCACCTCCTCTCCCCCGACACACGTACACACATGTGCACTTTTCCTTTCTCCTTCCCCAGTTGCGTCACTCATCCCTGTGCACCTTGTCCTTGGGCTGAGCCCTGGCCTGGGCTTTGACACACTTCCTGCTTGGTGCAGCTCTTTGCTCCCCAGGTGTGTGGCCCTGAGTCCTCCAGGCCCCGCTGAGCGTTCTGGGCCCGTGGCCAGCGCGCCCTCTGCAGAGGCACTGCTCCGGGACAGCTTCCTCTGCTGCGCTGGGACACTCCCCCACAGCAGTGCTCTCGGTGGGTATTTATCGAGCACCAGCTGCATGCCTGGCAGTGCCCTAAGCTGGGCCTGGCACGCGGCTGCCGGGTGCTGAGGGCAGTGTGTATCGGCGCAGTGCACCCCCCCATCAGAGGACCGTGCATGGCTGAGTTTGCATTGCAACAACAGTTGGACGGTGTGGCAAAGACCATGCGGCCCACAGCCTGAGGTGCTCATCATCAGCCCTTTATCGAAAGCTTGTGACCTACGCAAGTGTGAAAGGACAACAGGACAATAAGCTCTCCCACAGCTTACCTTTCACGGGGTGCCAGACCACACATCGCAAATCTCCAGCTGAACACCCACTCCGTCTGGGGTGAGCGGGGAGCAGTGGCACGGAGATGGCGGGCACAGGAGGCTGAGGAGGTGCGTGTTGTGGGAGCAGGTGTGTGGCCGGAAAGTCCTGTCTGAGCAGGGACGTTTGACAGTTACTGTCAGCTGGTACTTCTCCTGAGCCTCTTAGTCTGTAGGCAGGTTCTGTCTCCCTGTCCTTGCTCCTCACGTGGTGAAGTCACCACCTCATTTGAACCGTGGATTTTCCATGTTCTGGGTTCTGCTCGCTGCCTCCTCACTGTGCTGTTTGGTGTGTTCCTCTGGGCCCTCAGTTCCTACGGACGGGGAGTTAGGTCTAGAAGCGTCTGCCGGCAAACTGGCTCTGCTGGTGGTGTGTGCTGCCCCGAGGAGGCTGCGGTCTGCTTGCCCTACCCCACCTCTTCTCCTTTAACGGCTCTGCTGTCCCCCTCCCACCAGGTGATGCAGTTTGGTAGGATTGACGGCAACGCCTACATCCTGGACTTCCAGTACCCCTTCTCGGCCGTGCAGGCCTTCGCGGTCGCCCTGGCCAATGTGACTCAGCGCCTCAAGTGAAGGGCCAGTGCCAGAGAGAGGGGCGCAGACGACCATTGCAGAGATCTGTCCGAGGTGCTGGAGGAGCCACTAGACCAGGACCACGGGGCCTCCGAGGCCTAGGACACAGCCGCAGAACTGGGGCCACCTGCCGGGCCAGCAGAGGGCGCTGGTTTGAGTCCTTGCCGTTTCTTTGGGCTTTCGTTATCCTCATAGTGTCTTTCTTTTCCTCCTTTCTTTTTAAACAGAAACGAAATACAGTAGCTTGGCTGGTGGTAATGGTTCCGTGGGGCACGTTGACATACACTGCTGGGAAAAGAGGCCCGTTGAACTTAGGTGGGCTGGCCTACTGCCGGCTCTCCTTGTAGACAAAACGTGTGTTACTCTTCACTCTAGCTGTTACTACCCTCCAACATCACCACTAGTGTAAAAACAAAACACTTTTTAAAAACACGACCAAAAATCCTGACGATACAGGTTCTCCTGGGGGACAGCATTTCACTCGCACATACTGTGTTACTCCCCAAAAGGTGACTTGATTAATGAAGGGTGTTTGGCAAATGCACTGCTAGAATAATTACAGTCGGCTTTCTAAAGGGTGCTGCTATGAAGTAGAAGTAGGATTTGCTCCTTGGTGATAAGAGGAAGGGGTGATGGGTGAGTCGGGGACTCCTGCACACCCATACTTGCCCACAGTGCTCCGTGACACCTGGGTGACCCGGGCAGTGTGACTAGAAATAGTATAAGGGATCTGCTCCTCCACTGAGCCTGTTTCCAGTGGAAGATTCCACTGCGTCTGTGTCGAGACACCACAGGCTGAAGGATGAGCAGTCACAGTGGCTGAGTAAGGGTGACGGTCAAGAGACAGACAGACAGATCCAGGCCTGGGGATGGTCACGCACAGCGAGGGCTGGGGTAACTCGCTGGATGCCACATGCTCAGAAACAAGTCTGTCCCCTCCCTGCTTTGCTTTTCCTGCCTGGAAACGCTCCCGTGAACATTACCTTTCACTTGAGGTATCACGGCCCTGTGCTTTGTGTCTCTACAAGTGCTAACCATACTTGGTCTGGAAGTTCTCCATTACTCCTCCCAGCAACATCAAAATCCAATCAACTAGAAACATTTCCCGTTGGACTAGAAATTACAACTTTATAAAAATTTACCATTTACCAGGGTATTAAATATTAGGAATGTGGTGAAATTCTTGACACAAGTGCCATGGTCTTCTCTGGGAAAAAAACTGTACACGCTGTTCACTGAAGACGTAAGCCACTGGGAGAACTGATAAAATGATAGTATGTAGGGTAATTGGTTGACTTACCACCTTACTCTTTGTTTACTCAAAAAAAAAAAAAATCTACCTAGAATGTCTTTCCCCACCTCCCCCTCCTCAGAAGGACACCCAGGGCAGTATTTGAACCTGATGATGAGACCCCGTTCACGTGCTCAGTCGTTTGTAGTTTGTGGCCAGAGCACAAGGACTGTCTCCTGACTTGGGGTCCTAAATTCTTTTTGCAAACAGATATGCAGACAGTGCTACAGAAAAGGATTTTTTAAATAAATGTTTTTCAAAATTCTCTGTTTTGGTTTTTGAGCATGACAAAATTTTGTGGCATAAAAATAGGCATCTGGCTCCGGCCTTTCCCGGGGCAAGGTGAGCTCTGTTGGCATCTGTCCAGACCCCGGCGAAACCCTGCGGAGACTCATGGACATGCTGGAGGGCGTCTGGTAGGAAGCACCGTGTCCCGTTTGACGCTGAAAACCATTGAGCCTGATGGTTGACGGGTCAGTTCTTCCAGAAGGAACTCGGCACTGTGTTCAGAGTTATCACATTGTTTTGTATGTGTATCTGTAGCCTGGTAGGATGTTTCGATGCTCATTCTTAGTTGTGCAATAATGGTTACAGCCGATTTCAAAAATAATTTAAATGCAATCCTCTGTTTTGTCTGAAAGCATTATTTATCTTTGCTTTTCATAGTGTTTTTAGGAATTGTTTTACTACATATTGGTGAGTTATGCCCCTTTTATTATTTATTTAGAAAAATGGTGTCTTTGTAATGACTTATTTAGTAGCAGTACACTTCACTGCAAGAAATAAAGAAGACATCGATAGAAGGCTTTTTGCTGAACAATTTGTAACTTTTTCTAACTGGGAATAACTTGCGATTCTGTTGAAATACTACTTTGCGTTTTGTGGTATTGATCATATACAAAGGAGATGATTTCTTTGAGATAACAATTCTAGAATATTCCCCCTAATTTTGAAAATTTTATTTTTAATTAAAAATAATGGGTGATGAGAAAAGGGAGGGGGTATTTACTGTGGAAGATGAGTACTGTGCTGCAGCTGTTTCTGTTCTGATGGAGTTGGAAAGCAAGACATGAAAGGAGACATCTTAGAGCTTCTGTTACTGAGAGCAAAATGAGAGGGGATGTTGAGAGCAAAGCTAGATACGTGTGTGAGGCGAAAATAGGTGTTTATAGTAACTCCCTAAATTTCTTTCTTTTTTTTTTTTTTTTTTAATTTTGTTGGAGTTGTACTAAATTCTTAAGACGCGCTGGTGGCACAGTGGTTAACTACTTGACTGCTAACCAGAAGGTCAGCAGTTCGAACCCACCAGCAGCTCCGCAGGAGAAAAGGCCTGGCCGTCTGCTCCCATCAGGATTACAGCCTAGGAAACCCAGCAGGGCAGTTCGACTCTGTGGCTTGGGTCGCTGTGATTCAGAATGGACTCAACAGCACACAACAATAGCATCTCAATCTTGTTGTGGTGGTTGTTATGTGCTGCCGAGCCAGCTCCGACTCATAGCGACCCCTCCTTGGGTTTCCGAGGCAGTATCACTACGGAAGTAGATTGCCCAACCTTCCTTCCCAGGAGTGGCTGGTGGGTTTGAACCGCCAGCCTTCTGGTGAGGAGTCAAGTGCCTTAGGCACTGTGCTACCAAAGCTCCCAATCTTAGCTCCCCCAAAAGGCATTTTCTCAGTCTGGAGATGAAGGACCTCCTGTTCTACTATGTTGAGGTGCTCGGTGACTGGGAGCCCCAGGGACCTGCAGCAGCCACCAGCCACTGTTCCACCGTGAGGGACCAGAGGGCAAAGAGACTCATGGGCCAAACCGAGACTTCAGTCGATGCCTGCTGCAGTTGGGATGTGGGGTCTTCTAAGTTAATGGGCAGGGAGCATTCTCCTTTTTTTTTTTCTCCCAGAAACAATCTTGTTCAATTTCTTATTTATATACTTAGGTGTCTCCCACATTTTTAGATTCAACGATCAGATGCAAAATACTTTTTGCTTTTCCTTTTTGTAGTTTTTTTCTCCTTTTTTTTTTTTTTTTTTTTTTTTGGTGAAAATATACACAGCAAAGGATAAAAATTTCTTTCATTCAACCAGTCTACACATTTCAGCCAGTATTTTAAGCAGCAGACATAGAAGGACTTCATGTGTACTAACAGCAATGTATGAACATGAAGCTACCTCACTGAATGCCTAAATATAAAACCATAATCCGGTAAAAACTCCTCTGCATAAAGAATCCATGACTTTTGGGGGTCAGTACATTTTTTCTTCATAATATGCTTTAATACAGTGTTAAAACTGTAAAGCTGGGGTCATCGAGCTACTCTTGTAGGATCATCGCTGCCATCGGGTGCTGTCAAGTCTACCCCGACTCACGGCAGCCCTGTGTACGGCAGGACGGAGCTGTGCCCGGTCCTGTGCTGTCCTCACCATGGTTACTGTGTGTCAGCCCATCGTTGCAGCCACTGTGCCAACCCACCTCGTTGAGGGTCTTCCTCTTCTTCACCGACCCTTTACTTTACCAAGCTCATGTCCTTCTCCAGGGACTGATCCCATGGTATCTTGTAAGGTAACCATCACTTTAAATCCTGCTGCAAAGGAAAAGAAACCGTATTTCCTCAGGTAATACCCCGCCTTCCGTAAGTGAGAAGAAAGCAAGGCTTTGGACATGGAAATGTTAGGTCCCTCTTTGTCCTGTCTGCTGGTGTCATGTGCCGTTGAGTCAATTCCAACTCAGAACAGCCCTGCGTGACAGAACAGAACTGCCCTATAGGGTTTCCAAGGCTGTAATCTTTTCTTCCCCCAGAATTTTATTTATTTTATTTTTGTTGTGAATATACACAGCAAAACATACACCAGTTCAACAATTTCTACATGTACGATTTGGTGATGTTGATTACAATCTTGGACTTGTGCAAGCATTCTCACCCTCCTTTTCGGAGTTGTTCCTTCATTGATATAAAAACTCATTGCCTCCTAAGGTCCCTGTCTAATGGTTTGAGTTGTTGTCCATTTGATCCCATACAGACAGACCTTCGTAGAGCATAGTGTTCAGAGCAGACCGTTTTTGCTAGTGAAGGTAAACTCTGGTTTTAAGATGACTTGAGGGGATATTTTTAGTTTAAGGCTTAAAGATTATCTCAGGGCAATAGTTTCAGGGGTACATCCACCCTCCATGGCTCCAGAAAGCCTAGAATCCATGAGAATTTAAATTCTGTTCTGCTTTTCCCACCTTTTGATCAGGATACTTCTGTGGAATCTTTGATCAAAATGTTCAGTGATAGTAGCCAGAGACCATCCAGTTCTTCTCATCTCATGGCAGAGGAGGCAGTTGTTCGTGAGGCAGTTAGCCACCACACATTCCATATCCTCCTCCTGTTCCTGATTCTCCTTCTGTTATTCCCCATGAATAGAAACCAATTGTTGTGCCTTAGTTGGCCACATGCAAACTTTTCAGAGCCAGGCACTACCTGATGAACTAGGAGGTAGAACAGAAGCACTGAACGTGTTGTTAGGCCAATTAACTGAGGTGTCCCGTGAAACCATGACCCTAAACCTCCAAACCAGGAAACCAAATCCCATGAGATGTTTGCTTGTACATAAGCAGCCTTAGGAGCTGCTCTTTTTTGTTGTTTTTTCATTACTGTAAATATACCTATCACACAATTTTTGCCAATTCAATTTTTTACAGGTGTTCAACTCATTGACAGCAGTTACAATAATC